AAAAATCTATCATTAGTATAATTATATTCATCATTTAATAACACATGTAATGATATATATATATATATATATATATATATATATATATATATATATATATATATATATATATATATATATATGAAATATGAAGAATTTAGGTGTTTCAAATGCATGTGATAGAAAAAAAAAATATGTTATAGTATAGATAAAGAAACCGGAAATATATTCATTGAATTTCTCTTAACGTTTTACAAATTTGATCTTATTTTTTTTATCAATTTCCAAAATGTGATGTATTTTTCCAAATAAAACTGATGATTACATATTGCTTTTAAATACTACATATAAAAGTATCAAACACATATAAGTTTAAAAAAAATATTTGCCGATTTGAAGGAAATTCACTCTTTCTTATGGATGCATCTAATACAACTAAAAACTATTTGAGGTTATATATTTTACTGTAATGTTATTGTATTCTTTCTATCCAACATATTGTATTATTTTAATGTAATATTACTATATTTTTTAAGTTTCACAGACTGATTTATCTTATTATGATCTTAGTATGTATGATAGAGTGTATTATCTATGTATGACATTGTGTATTATCTTCTCGTAATCTTGATGTATTTTCTATGTCTCAAAATAATTGTTTTTCTTAACTTTCTAACGGACCTTTTTTTTTAATATAGCAATTTTTTGTAGCATTTTGATCAAGTTTTAAACACACAATGACGCAATAATACAAGACTCTATAAGAATGAGATAATATTCTAAGATCAATAAATCAGACTAGGCAACCAAATAGTCGACACCTAGGCATTTGGCATGCATTCACCAGGACACCACCTACGATTTAAAGGTAATCGGGCAAAATCCGTCTATGCAAGAAAAAATTCAAAATCTAAAAAATATCAAAAATGATAAAATAAGTCAACGATAAAAGTAAAAAATAATCAGATGCTAATATAGTAATATAGTAATATAGTAATACATAAACTAGAAACTAATATCGTAATTCCTAATTTGAAATTCATGCCTTTATTTATTCATCTCCGGTATGTCACTATCTCAGTCTCCCTCTTGGTAGACCTTTATCCTTTATCTTTCCTCTCGCATCTGTCTCTTTGTCTTTCCCTCATTTGCTTCTTTTTTCTTTCTTCCCTCTCGTGTCTTCTTTCTTTCCTTTCTTTCTTCTCACATTTTTCTCTCCAACTCTCCCTTATTGTACTCATGTTAAAGACTAGAATATGAACTTTATGGTTATTTACTTATTTTATTAGGATATCGGTACTATTTGATTTTTTCAAAATAAATTTCTTTATAATTCTAAGGTTCCCGATTAAGTCCTGCATAAACCGATTAATCCCAAGATCCCAATCAGACTGACTATATAGATATCAATTTTTACATCCTTGGGTAAGATTACAATAAAATAGTACTATCTATCAGTCAGATATAATAATACAGTAAAACCTCATCTTCTGGGGGTAATATAGTAGTTGTATGGAAATAAAATGGAGTGGTATAAAAGTTGTATATATCGAAAGATGATGAAGTAGAGTGGTATGAAATTTGGAGTTGTATCATCATACCAAGGTTGTATGTAAGAAGTGGTCGTTTTTTTGATAAATATATAAAGTAATTGATTAAGAGATAAAAATAAACAAAAATTATAAATATATAAATTAAACAAAAGTTATTAATATAAAAAATATATACAAATTAGTTAGTTATTTTAGTTATTTTGTTAATTAATGCAGTTTTAATTTTGTAGTTTTTAATTGTTGTATTTTTATTTACTTAATGTTCTAATTTTTTTGTTTTTAATTAACTTTATATTTTAATTATAGAAATAAAGTTATATAAATATATCATATATGTTTATGCAACTATGCACCAAACTTCAACTTCTTACCAAATCAATACGAAAAATTGAAAATAAAACGTAGATAAACTTATCAACTATGGTCTATGAAATCATGTATTCAGGTAAAGCATTAATTATAGTAATGTAATTGTAAAACATAACAAATTGAAGATTAACTGAATATATTACCTCGACACCATACTTTATCGCGACACCAACAAGCGTATCAAATTTGGAAACGGTATGCTCAATATAATCCAAACCACCACCACCAGATGAGAAGGAACCCGGCGGCAAAGCCACCGGAGACGAAGTTTTGGAATAGCACTTTACTGGTGGTGCCGGTAACACCATCGGCCCCATAAAATCTCTGTTAAAAACCAAACCCTAATACAGGAATTCTGGGAAATCAAAAATGTAATAAAAACTCAACCAAAACCAAAATGGTAAATCAACAGATGATTATGGAGGAAAAGTAAAACCCTATTTCAAGATCTTGTTTATGGCATATGCGTTGGTAAATTATGTAGAAATAAAAACTGAAAAGGATGATGAGTGTATGGATGATGGTGATGAAGTACTTGTATCCCTGTTTTGCCTTCAATCAAGGCGTATGAGTCAACTAGCCGCGTCAAAAGATTCTCCCTTCAAACAACAAAACAAAATAGAGTACCTTATAGTAAAACGTTATAATTGAACTTATTATTTTATTTTTTAGTAGTCATGGATTCATGTTTTTAGTCAAAAGGTATGTGTCGGCATTTCGATCCTGACCGTCAGATTAGATGGCACTGTATGAGACTAAATAAATAAAGCCGAATTGAGAATGTAATATTAAAAAAAAAAAAAAAAAAAAAAAAAAAAAAAAAAACAAACCATGTAGATATTTAGAAAAATAACCATTTTTAATTTAGTATTAAGAAAAATAATCAAATATTTTGTATTTTAGAAATTACTAATTGATCTAAAATTAAGGATGTCAACGGAACCAAACAAGAATAGAAATAATTGTCCCGCTTCCACCCCGAAATCAGTTATTGTCCTTGCTCCTTCCCCTGAATCCTCCGGTTACTTAGCTCCCGATACCCCCCCCCCCCCCCCCCCATCGTCCCCCGTTCTCCCGTTTTATAGACTTAAAATTGACTTTTATTGCTAAAAAACTATTTTTCATTACTTTAAAACCTTAAAATTTAGTTCTTTTAACAACTAAAAAATTAAAAATCCAACATTATAAAACAACAAATCCAACAAACTTATAAATATAAAATACGACAAATCCAAAATTACAAAAAAAAATATACAGCATATCCAAAAATATATGATCAGTTCACTGTCGTATCATCGTACAATGTAAATGGAAGAAAATCAATAAACCCTAAGACTAGATAATGTATTATATATATATATATATATATATATATATATATATATATATATATATATATATATATATATTTGATGCAACTGATAAATACTTAAAAGTATCTGAAATGACCGTAATTAGTTGTGTAGATTGGTTTTGTGCATGTGTGTATAAGATTTTTCACCAACAATATTTGTGTAACCCTACCCCACATGATATTGAGAGATTATATTCGGCTCATGAAGAGAGGCATGGATTTCCGGGTATGGTTGGCAGTCTAGACTATATACATGTGTCTTGGAAAAAATATCCAACTGCATGGCGTAAATTCACTCGAGTAGATATAGGTGAACTAAGTATAATCCTAGAAGTTGTGGCATCTTAGGATTTGTGAATATGGCATTCGTTTTTTGGAGTTGCGGGGTCTAACAATGACATTAACGTTCTTGGGTAGTCTCCTCTTTTCAATGATCTTTGGACCAACAAAGCACCAGATATGACGTTCGCAGTGAACGGACATTCGTACAAATACGATTACTACATTTGTGATGAGATATACCCGGATTATTCTACACTTATGAAGGCATACTCGGTTTATCGAAGTAAAAAGATAAAGTTGTTCACAAAGAGGCAGGAATCAACGAGGAAGGATATCGTGAGGGCATTTGAAGTCCTCAAGCAGACATAATATGTAGTGAAATACGGTAAACGACTTTTGGATAAGGATAGAATTAAAGAAATGGTTCAAGCATGTTTTATAATGCATAATATGATCATTTAAGATCAAGGTCGGGCGATTTGCACGTATGATTCGGATGACGGAGTTATCCCGCTTAAAGAGTTCGTACCCGGAATGAATGAATTTTTATCACGAGTTGTCGAAATTCATAACAGTGAAACATCTTTCAATCTTTGAGAAGATGTCGTAAAACATTTGTACGAACTCAACATGAACGAATATTAAGTTTAGGTTTTTTAAGTAATGTAATTTTTTTAAATTTTAGATTAATTAAGTAATGTAATTTGAAGTTGTATTTTTATTTTTATAAAATGAAAAACTAGTTAAAAAAATCAATGTATTTATTTTATTTTTTAATTGTTATTTTATTGTATTTTTTAATTAAAAAAAAAGATGTGGAGTTGAGTTGTTAGTGGTGGGTATCCTATAGGTTTAGTAGTAGTTAGTGGTGATAACGTGACACCTTCTATTATAATGGTTAGTAGTGTGTATAACGAATGGTCTAATAATAATAATAATAATAATAATAATAGAGTTATAATATTAGTAACTAAATAATAAAGAATAAAAGAATGATGATGATTAAAAATAACATAATTGTGATTGAGCAATATTACCGATAATAAGCAAAGCAACAACGAAAAACAATATTATCAACTGAGAAATTAAATATTTTCCTACTTTTTATTTCTACATATCTTTCTATCCAGTTAAATAGTTATATTTTTAACATTTAATGCTCGTTTAATAAAATTTAATAATATTTTATTATACTAATATAACATATGTTATCATTTAAATGAGTATGAGAATTGATAGGAAGATATTTAATTTCTCTTAACAATAATACTAACCAAAAGGGTAAAACCTTTATTATTAATGGAGAAATTAAATATCATTTTATTTTTTGTTCCTATAAATCTTTCTATCCAATTAAATGGTGATATGTATAATATTTAATGTTGATTTAATGAAATTCAATGTTATTTTATTATACTAATATGACACATGTAATCATTTAAATGGATAAGAAGATTGATACACTAGGGATGAACAAAAGAACCGAACTGGCCGGAACCGAACCGGATCGGGGAACCGGCTTCGGCAAAAATGAAGAACAGAACCGGCCCGGCGGTTCTACCGGTTCCGGTTCCGGGTCCGGTTTTTGCCGGTTTTTCGAGTTTGGAACCGGCTAAATTTTGATGTACCCAACGACTAAATTACTTTGCGTTTTATTGGTTTTTCGGGTCCGATTTTTGCCGGTTTTTCGAGTAATTCCAACGACTAATTTACTTTGTGTTTTATTGGTTTTTTATGAAGAAGTGGATGTTTAAATACTAGTAAATAATCAACATTTTAATAATAAACATTTTAATAAACGATTCAACATTCAAGCAAATTAACCATGAGTCTTTTATTTAAATTATTACAAGCAAATTAAACATGAATGTCGTCAAAGTTATGTTATTAAGTATCCAACATTCAAATATTCAACATTCAAAATACACTTTCGACATTCAAAACATACTTCCAAGTTTCACCAACAAAAAAAAAGTCTAAGATGTGGATTCCAACATTTCTTTCATATTTTGACTAATTCCCCGATCTCTTCCCCGTTAGCTTCAAATTGTGTATAGCATCCACAATGTCTATATATAATTCAAAAGAAAAATGTTATTACTTACTAAAATGTAACAAATAGGGATGAGCAGCGGAAGCGGGTACCTGCTTTCGGAACCGGAACCGCCTCGGAACTGCCGGTTTTGGAATTGGAACTGTCGTAGGCGGTTCCGGTTCCGGTTCCTAAAGTCTTGGAACCGCCTTAAGTGGTTCCGGTTCCAATTCTCATTTTTAAGAAACCGATAACCGCTGGATACCCGCCGGTTCCGGTTCCAATACCGGGTACCCGAAACCGGCTGTTAACCGGAACCGGTACCGACGGGTACCCGCCTTTTTCTAAAAAAATATATATTTAATTATTTATATATTGATGATTTTGTCTAGGGTTATATCTCGTCTAGGGTTACTACATCGACCCATACTAAACAATACACCGACACACGCTTCTTCTTTAAGTTCTCTCCACTCGTCTCCATCGTCTCCGTCTCTCACATTACCAGTTTGCCCCAAATATGTGGACCACGTCGCTTCTTCTCAGTACCACATCGCTCCGATCATCCCTACTTAGTTTCTCCATCATCTCTCTTGTTGCTTGATTACAAGTTCTCTCTCATGCTTAAGGTCAGATTCTCAATCGTAACTCTCAAATATCTCGATTATCTCTCTCATCGCTTCATTACCAGTTCAACCTCCATATGTGAATCTCGTTTATTAGACTGTTAGTTTCGATTTTTTGTTGATTGTTTTTGTTAATTTGTCGATTGTTTAAGTTCTGTTAACATCTATATGAAGTTTAAGCTGCAACAGGCAAGAATCAAGGCAATCCAATGGCGAAATCTGTTAATTTGTCAATTCTTTTGAAACTCACTCGTCTCCTTCGTCTCTGTCTCTCACATTACCAGTTTGCCCCAAATAGGAAAATACCACATCGATTAAAGAAGGGTAGAAGACGACGGTGGACCACGTCGATTGATTCGCTGGAGTAGACCATCGTGAGTACCACGTCGCTCCGATCATCCTTACTTAGGTTCTCACTCGTCTCTCACATCGCTTGATTCCATCATTCAATCTCTATGATCTTGGTGGCCCGCTCAGGCCATCTCCCAATAATTTCCACCAAATCAGGTAATTTCTAGCAAAATCATTATTTTTCCCTTTTCATTGTGAGTATCGCTAACTATGGTTGATGTTACATAGTTGCCAAGAGGTGTATTGCTCTTCTTTAATCGCCAATTTCATCAAGTTACTTGTGCTTAAGGTTATCTTCGCAAACCAGGTATTGACCTTAAATCTTTCCTGATATTTAAATCTATAATTGGCTATCTGCTAGGGCTATGCGACATTGATTTGTGTGTGTGTGTGTTTAATCAAATGTGCTTCAGATTTGGTTCATCTGTTTGCTGTCATAACAAATCAGACCACTGAACTCTTTATTAATGTCATCCGCTTTTATTTACACTGATGTTGGTTGTGGTTTGTTTCATTTTGTTCCTTGTTAGCTAGCATAACGAATTTGGTGAGGAGACAAATTTGATGTAACTTGCACTTCTAGGAGCTGATAAACAACCTCAGGTACAAATATTTTAGTTCCAATGCATCATTTCTATCTTCATAATTTCTATATTCCTACATAAAAAAAAAGCTTTGAGAAGGCTGAACCTGTTACTGCTTTCTGTTAAAATGAAAGATAATCACTTGTGAAACTTGTGTGAATCTCTTGCATTTCTATATCTGTTACATAAAAAAACAAACAGAAAAAATGAAAGATAATCACTTGTGTTGTCATGGTTGCTGCTACAAGCATTCAGGTTCTGGAATACTACTATGCTTTAATATTCTCTATGATTCATAATTTCTTTTTTGCATATTAATGGTTCTTCTTTTATTGATGCAGCTCAAGGAGATGGAAGAAGTTACAATCTTTGAACAACCAACTGGGAAGAAAAAAAGTGTTCCTTAATTTTTTATTCTTAATGAGGATTATTTATTTTGTAACCCTATTGTTTGTAATTTGTCAAGGCTATGTTGTTTTTGCTGTGTTGTTTTTTCCTGTTGCTGTTTTATGTTTATTGTTTGTAATTTTTCATTTTTTGTCATCTATACTTGTTAAATTTCTCTTGATGGGAAATATTTTCTACGATGTTTTTTATTGTGTGAAGTGTTTATAAATGTTAATATCCATGTCATTTACTCTATAATTTATAAATAAAAAGTTTTATATTTAAGAAGCCGGGTACCCGGAACCAGAACCGGTTCCGGCGGTTCCGGGAGCGGTTTTAATTTTTTAGGAACCGGTGTACGCGGTTCCGGTTCCAATTCCAAAAACTTAAGAACCGCCGGTTCCGGGAGCGGTTCCGGTTCTAGCAAAAATATGCGGGTACCCGGTTATGCTCATCCCTAGTAACAAATACTAATAAGAAGTTAAAAATAAGATGTAACAAGTATTAGTGTATTACCGATAGCGAGGTCATCGTCAGCTAACACATCGTGCACTTCGTCGTAGTCATATATAGGCAAGCTACTCTTTCTTAGCCAATCTTGAGTGCATATCAATGCCTCCACAATCACAACGGACAAATTAGTACGGTAGTCGGTAATTACTCGACGACCATTACTGAATGTGGATTCGGATGCTACGGTGGAAATTTGCATCCCCAAAATATCTATTAATAAACAAATTAGTGTATAATACACGACACAAATTTATAAATTAAAATTTTAAATTAGAGTAAAAGAAGGTCGATACCTCTTGCCATTCGAGCAACGATCGGGAACCGCACCGCATTATTTTTCCACCATGTGAGGATATCATATCCTTTGTCAAATCCGATTGGGTCCTCGTTTAAGTATCGTTGCAATTGACTTTCTGACGAAGTCGAGGGGAAACTTCCCGAAGTCATATAGCTTCCAAAGAATTCGTTTTCGTCATCAAAATTAACAACTTCTTCGGGAGTTTCTTGTTGAGACGATGAGGTCATGTTTGACCTTTCCAAGTATGTCTTCAAAAACTTGTCCAATTTGCATTCGATATCAATAACCTTTGCACGTGCTTTGGATTCTATCTCATCAGCGGACATCTTTTTATCTTTGTTTTTGGCTTTAAGCATTTGGGTAAAAACAACTTTCATAAACTTTGACTTGCATTGAGGATCTAACAATGTCGCAAAGAAGACATAATCACTTATAGTATCATAGTCACCCCAATATTTGTCATATTTATCTTTCATATCCGGTACCATAAACATAAAATCCGGGTTGGTTTCATGTTTCCTAAGATGTTGCTCTATATCTAGGATCTCCTGGGTATACGTATGGAAGATAGGCTTTGTTGAACACGAAACTTTTTCAGTTTTCTTCTTAAACTTCTCAAGGAACTCCATCATCTTTTTAATCATCTCAAAATCTGAATGTGATGGTACCCGTCCCACAGTTTTCTGAAACATTGGATCTACAAAAAAGAACAACAAAATCAGATTACGTTTTATTGTTGTTAGAAAAAAAAAAAATTCAGATTTTACACCCTTCCTTGCGGGGCTTGTAACTCATTCAATTTTTAACCAAATCAAGCGTTTTTATAGTCTAAATTCAACTAATAATCCTAATCTACATGTAGGAAAAAGATTCAGGTCAAAACAAGTTAAATTGAAGGAGTTATGCACATTTGAACAACAAAATCACATCACGTTTTATTGCTGTTAGAAAAAAAAAATTCAGATTTGACACCCTTCCTTGCGGGGCTTGTAAGTCATTTAATTTTTAACCAAATGAAGCGTTTTTATAGTTTAAACTCAACTACAAATCCTAATCTACATGTAGGAAAACGATTCAGGTCAAAACAAGTTAAATTGAACTAGTTATGCACAATTTAATATTTGGACTGATTGCTAAAGAAATAAATATTGCTAATTTTAGTGCTGAAATATATTTGATTAAAGTATTTTATTTACCTTGATGGCTATATTCGAGAAATGCGTCTTTCACATCGTACGCTGATCTTATCAATTCAAAGGTAGAGTTCCACCTTGTTGGAGTTTCACTACACAAAAACCTTTGACTTTCTACAGCCGCATCCTTCATGGCTTGTTTAAACGTCTTGATCCGTTGCGGGGAGGCTCTAATGTATTTCACCGCATCTTGTAGGTTTTTTACATGATAAACTTCGTGTTTTAACCCCATTTTCACAACTAGGTTTATGATATGAACCATACACCTAATGTGAAAATGTTTTCCATTCTCGTAAATACCCGGTAGTTCTTTCACAATGATGTTGATTGCCGCGTCATTTGTCTTGGCATTATCAACGGTCATCATCATGACATTCTTCATCCCCCACTCATTTATGCAAATTAGCAACTCCCGGCCATGTCTTCAGCTTTGTGAGTATCAACCTCTCTAAAGTTGACTACCCTTTTGTGCATGACAAAATCTTCAGTAATGAAGTGGGCCGTGACAACCATATAATTTATCTTTTGACACGAGGATGTCCACGTGTCGATTGTCAAGTGGATGGCTGTTTTGGGGTTGCTCAAATGTTTGCACAGCTTCTGCCTCTCCATTAAATAGAATGACACAACATCACGAGAAATGTTATGCCTTGAAGGCAATTTCACCCTACCATTGAGGGCGTTTACAAATTCTATGAATGCCTCGTTTTCAATGAATTTAAATGGTAGTTCCCCAATGGTGAAAAGTCCTAGCAAGGCAAGTTGGATCCTAGTATCATCATGTTTCCATGTGTATACATGACCCTCACCATTAGGAGCTTTCGTAAATGACAACTTTTGTTGTTTGTCATCAACTTGTTTCGGTATGTTGTCTGGATTTAACTTGCACCCATTAAAATGCTTGTTTATTGAAGTTGTACCATTCCGGTTTGGATCTGCGGCTAGTAAATGTAAACAATAATTACATTCGACCCACTTTCTTTCAATTCCATCGTCCTCCTTTATCCATTCGATCTCGAAGTATTTCCAAACAGGAGCGGTACAATTATCTCTACCCTCACCTCGTCTGGTTGGGTTAATCCGGTCCCTTAACTCCTTTTGAGTCTTTTTTTTTTGTTTTTGGGTTTTGGTTTTGTTGGGTATTTTTCTTGTGTTTGTTTTTGTGGTGGTGGTGGTTTTTTTGTTTGTGTTGGTTTTTTTGGTTGTCTTTGTTTTTGTGTGGTTGCAAATTTTCGTTTTTTTGAAGGTTGTTGTTCTTGTGGCTCCTCTTCTTGGTTTGATTCATCACTTGGTATAACATTCCATGCCGGTGTTTCTTCTATATAATCTTCTTTTGAATCTTCTCCATAATCCTATATTCACAAAATAAAACATATAATAAGTCATATTACGTTTAAATACTGAAAAATAAATATAAAAAAATCAGATTTGACACCCGTCCTTGCGGGCACTACTAGAAAACAGACCTTTAACGACATGCTTTTTACGACATGCACTGTTTAATGATACGCAAAAGGGCGTGCCCTAAAAATAATGTCAAATCTTTAGAAATTTAAAGAATTTTGGATGTGCATTTTTGTGTGCCCTAGAATTAGTGTCTCACAAAAAAAACACGGAGGGCGCTTATGTTAAAGGCGTATCGTCTAGAAATGTCGCTTTATAATTTTACAAACGCGCTCTTCAACAACTAGCAGCGGGAAAAAGGAAATAAAAAAAATTAGAAAACCCGCCTTCCTTCCTTGTTTCCCCTCTTTAGCTCTGGGTATGTTCTTTGACAACAAAAATCTTCTCCGGTCATCCTCCGCCTCCCTACATCGAGTGTTGCTTGCGTCTTTCCCTTGCACTCCGACCGCCGCCACCGATTCTTCCCCCGTTCGTTGACATCGAGCAAGGCTCATTTACTTCTACCCACTGGAACCACCATATCTCCCACTTGATGTTGAAATTGTCAGAAAAGGCCCTAATTCAGTATTATACTCTCAAGTCTCAATATTAAGAATGCAAATCTTGATTCTTGTTTGTTTCTTATTCCCAGATAAACCGAAAAAGGGGAATTAGAATAACGAAGGTAGCGGGAGTTTTGGTCCGGTGGTCGTGGTTCATCTATCGAGCAAGGAAGATGGGAACGCAAGCAACCATGGTGGCTCGATGATGCAATCAATCGAGAAAGGGGAAACACCTCTAGTGCGGGATCGATTTGACAAAAGGAGAAGGGAGAAGCTGCGATGCATCCCTTGTCTGCCGCAGCTAGGGGGAAGGCGCTCCGACGGACTCCTTGGTTGTTCTTCCTTGTCGCCATCAGATTACATGTAGGGAGGAGACTCAACTAGTTCGATGGAGCAGGGCAAGTAGCGACTAGTAGATCGGGATGATCGATCTATTCGTGAGGAGGAGGAGGTAATTATCGGTTCTTGGTGAGCTTTCCTTGGCTTCTTAGACTCCGTCATCGGTAGAAATCGGGGTAAGTGAGTCGGTTTCTTGTTTGATTTCGCTGAAATAAACAGAGGGAGGAAAGGTTTGGGTGGAGGTCTAATCGATGAAAACAGTGGGAGCCTCTTGGTCTCGTCGGATGCTACTCCATCTCCAGTGGACACCTCCCATGTACTCCGTTTTACTTATCTATTTTTTCTACTATCCTGTAGGTCTCTTCTTCTTATTCACGCCTCCACCATGGACCTCAATTTCAAACCACCTGATGCTCGCTTCTTTCTTCTTGAAAGACCCTCCGTCATACCAAGTTACTATTCAGGTAGGTTTGAGCCCTAATATTGAAAAATTGATTTCTTACAAGTAATATTTTTTTATCTTATATTCTGTGAGTTCTTCATTTCTCATTCACATGCATCAAATTGCTCAATGAAACCTGTCCTAGGATCATTCCTTCTTTACATTTTCCCGATCTGCTCAGATCACTGATGTCGGGCCAGTTGGCATCCACGGTGGTACGGGACAGCTGACGTCCCTTCCTCCTCTGGGAAAAAACCACCACAACATCATCCCAACGTATCAAGACCACAACCTCACACCCTCGCCACCAATGTACATCAAGGAATCTGCCAGCCACCACCACTAACACTTTTTTAGGTTGGATATTTGTTTGGGATTGGTTTCTTGAAGGTGTTCATGGTGTTCTGGGACTCCTCAGATATGGTAAGTTATTAAATTCTTTGGTTATGATTGATATGAATTGTGCCCTAAAAGTGTTTGTTGAAATGTCAGTTTTGTTTTGGTCATTGTTAAATCATTTGATTCAACTTATATTGCAAGATTGAGAGAAACACATACGAATGGATCATAGGAATCTAACAGTAAATCTCTTTTCTTCACATATTTTTTTTTGTGGAGTATCCTTAAAGTTATCATTTACATGGTCGAACATGAAGTTAGAGCTAATGAAACTTCAATTGTAGAGGCTAGCAAACTTTCATAAGAATTATTTGCATCATTAAGAAGGTTTGTTATCTGTCAAATATATTTGGAAAAAAAATCTAAACTTATTGTTTATGTTACAGGTTCATGAACGAATGACACAAAAAAAAATATTGATGGCATTATAAAGGTTAATTTCACTACTAGAAAAAGTATAATATAATACGGTTGAAAGTATGAATATAGTACATACATAGAGGGCGTATTAGTAGAGGGGTGTATTAGATTCCATGCCTAATAGAGTACGGCTATTTAACCGTACTCTATATGTATCCTATCTATTTACAACCATCACATAAAAGAATTTAATACACCATATTATAGCATCTAATACACCATAAACAACCGTACTTGATGTCACATCCCCCACAATTCATTCCTGATTGCATTCCAACCCATTCCAGCTTTGCATTCCAGCCTTATTCATTACCCAATTCCACTCCATGGATGTTGTTGCGGAACACATAGATCACCATTCCAACTGAAACGAATGGTTCAATTTCTGCAAAGCTTTTACTACAACATAAAGAAAGAATTTTAACTTCATAAGAATCCTTTTCAAAGCTTCAAATTCCAAGAAATGTTTTAAAAGTACCTTCATTAATAATGTTTTGGCCTCATCTCTGACAATTTCAAAGATCTCTATGGCACTGATTATGGTATGACTACCTTTTACAAGCTGCAAAGTTATTGTCAAACTCCTTCCACTAACAGGGATTGATGTATTCAACACAAGAGCACTATTAATATATCCACTCATTTTGACAATATCAATCTCTTGAAACAGCTATCACCATATATAATGATGTCAAAAACCTGTTGTCCCCTCATGTGACTAAATGATCAATCTCTGCAAAATGCAACCAAAACAAGTATGAAGAAAGGAACGCTGGCAAAATGGGAACATTCCATTCAATTTTGAGTTTTAGGTCAAAAGAATGAATAAGAATTGTAATTTTTTTATCAACATGTTACTTCAAAATAATTCTTTTTTCATATTATTGTCTCTCATCGTTTTCTTGTGTGTGTTGTAATCCATGTAGGTTGTTGCTTTTAACAAGCCTAGTTAGGAGTTGAAGAGCATGGAAGAATTCCTCAAGTTTGACCTGGAATATGACCAACCAGGTTTACAAATTCTAATTATTTTTTCTTTTCAAGAACTTTGAATTATTATATTATTAATTCGCTTTTGTCCTTCAATTACTAGTGTCCTACGAATACTTTTAGAATTACCTCTATGCAGATGTCCAAATCAGTATTGCTAGGTTGACGGTCGCAATGGTTATGCAATCTATAAATGAGCTGTATTAGAAAATGGATAGCTCTGTACTTGATTTCAAATTGAGCCGTACTAGATCTAGGTTTTAGCTGTATTAGATTTCAAGCTAATAACATTCATAAATCCCTGTATTCTATTCCCATTCTTACGGTATTAACCATATTATATGCCCGTATTAGATTAACATTACCTAGTTATAATACGGATTTTTATTACAACCGCATTAGATGTGGTGTACTACATTAGCTATTTTCCAGTAGTGTTTGTAGCAATTTATACAAAGGGGTTTTTTGTTTTAACTTAATGAGATTAATTAATGGGTAAAATAAAACCCTTTTGAATGAATAGACTATGTGATCTAAGTTTGTTCTGTTTCAAAGCATGGTCACTGTTCTTGATAAACTTCAGTTTGGTGTACACTCTCTTTCTTCTTGATGATGTAGTTTTAAGAATGATGTAGTTGTAAATGGACAATCATAAAGTTTTCCTTTACATGTAGAATAGCAAAATATCACTTCCGCCCCTTTTTTAGCATCTACTTGTACATATAAACATAAAAAAAACTTGTAATCAGCAAAATATACTCTTTGAGGCATTTTATCAAATAACTTATGTGCAGAGACAAATAGTGGTACCACTGTCGTAGCTTATCTTGTTGTGGTGTTCTCTGAGTCTCTGGATGGCAGTAAAAATTGTAATCAACTGACGGAAAAAAGATATATATAATGTCAGATGAGATGCCTATAAGCTGAAGCATAATAATTAATAGTTTGATGAAATAGTTAATTTTATAAATGAGAATTATAAAAAAAGAGAAGTTCTATGTTGTGAGTAATAACCTTTATTGATTTATCTTTATTTATTTATTTATTTTTTATAAATATTTTCTCAAATGTTAATATTATTATATTTTGTTGAATTGCAGGGGGATAACCAGAATAGAGTAAGTGGACAAGCAATGGAGTTCAAGCAACTGAACATACATGCATGAGAAGTATTTGAGAAGGGCAATGATGTCCATATGCAAGCTGCTCCTTCACAAACTGAATTGTTGTATAAGAATTATAAAGTGAACAAAGAGAAGCTGAAATCTCAAGTAAAGGAGAAGTTAAATATGATCGTGCTGGAAGAATCATCAAAGGAAAGCTGCTTCTTCATCTGCTAGAAGAGCACCTGTCTCAGGGACAAAAGGGAAAAACAAGAAATATGTAAGCCCATTCCATACCACATTGGTATTTTGTTTTTTATTATGATATGTTTGTAATTTGTAAATCGCAATTGGCAGTGTGGTGGTGGTGGTCAGATAATGGGGGAGGATCTTCCCTGAAAATGCAGTACCCTCCATCAGGGCCAAGTGGGTGGGGCCAGCTTGGTAATCGTGTGACTTCTGGGCTAGTTGCAAATGATTCTGTTGAAACATCAGCATTCTTCCCATTGATTGGAAGAAAAGTGAGAACCAGATGGCCTAATGACAACAATTTTTATGAAGCAGTTATAACAGATCACAACCCCGTTGAGGTAATTTGATATTGCTTGCAGCTCCACCTCCAAAATTTATGCTGGAAAAAATATACTTTCAGGGTCGGCATGCACTAGTTTATGATATTAGTACAGCAAATGAGACATGGGAATGGGTTAATATTGCATAGGTAAGTGTAGAAAGTTAAAATCATGGGTGATATACCATGTCTTAAATAAAATATTGCTTGATACTTGATGCAGATATCACCAGAGGATATACAATGGTGGATCAGGTATTCAATTCATGGAATGAGTAGACCCGTTGGACGTGATAATGGTCCTGGTGGAGGTGGAGGTGCAGGGAGAGGTAGAGGGTTGCCCAAAAGTCAAGCAGTAGCAGCATCAAGAAAAGATTTTCCACGATCACAGAATGGCATTGGAAAGAAGGGTCGAGACAATATTTAGTCACTTCACACTGATACTCTTATAAAAGAGGTACATACATGATAATTGCAGATATATCATATATGTATATTGTATATTTTATTTACAAGAAGGGAAAGGAATTTTAACATTCATGCCACAGGTTGAGAGGGTATTTGGGTCTAGTCATCCAGATCATGTTGAAATACAGAAAACTAAGAAAGTGCTCAAGGTTAGTTTTGAAAACATGTAATGTATGATTTATGATTGAAATAATAATAATAATAATAATAATAATAATAATAATAATAATAATAATAATAATAATAATAATAATAATAATAATAATAATAATAATGATATATAATGCAGGAACATGAATAAGAACTGACTGATGGCATTGCAAGGCTTGCAGATATCTCAGATGGTACAAAAACTAAACTAAACTGTACTCTTCTTCCAACTCTATTAAATGCTTACTTCCTGAGTCCCACTTAAAGAGACAAGTGAATGAAACTAAGAAGACAGGAAATGTTTTTTGATGTTCCTGAGTTTTTATAATGGAAAGAAGAGAAAGGATAATCTTCCCTTCCAATTTGGAAGGATTTGGTTCCTTAAAATAAGACGTGAATTTAATTTCTTTTCTTTTTCTTCAAACTCGGGAACACATAAATTATTAAAATGTTTATTTACCTTTTATTTTTTCAAGCCTGGAAACATGAAAATATAATCTTCTTTTCTCTCCTTTTTTTTCTTTTCTTTGGTAAAACTTGGGAAATACAACATAAAACTAAATGACATATATGAATATAATTATAATGCTTGAATTATTTACTTTACAATTTTCTTTCAGGTGATTTGGTAAAGATGGCAATGGTTAACACTAATGGTCCAAACCATTTACCTTCTTTTAGGCAATTGATTGGCAATCTTACTCAAGATATACCACTTCTTTCTGTAAACATCACCTTCAACTAATAAAATTTAACAAAAAGCCCTTCAAATAACTTCCACTTCCATTCTTGAATTTACTTCACATAGGCAATGACCAAAATAATTCCAAAGAGACACTCTTGATTGGAGAATTAAGCTTCTTGAATTAGCTGCTGGAATTGTGTGTGTGTGTGTGTATATATATATATATATATATATATATATATATATATGGTCTTGCTATATATAAACATTAAATCTTTGTTGTTTTTTTCAAGTTTTTTGCAGATATACAAGTGTTGCATTCTTCATTTCAATTATACATATGTTTGTTTTGGTTTGCATGCAGTCTTTGTTTGGCAGCTTGGACAAACTTTGTAGCACCTGATCGTCCATGGAATTCTTGGTAAAACAAATTTATAGTGTACTTCTTCCATTCATGTTAGTAATTTCTCATTATGATGTGTTGTTTCGATCTTGTGCAATTTTATTTTTAGGAGGTATTTTACTTTATTAAATGTTGCACATCATGGAACATTTTAGGGCAGTTGTTGGTTTTCCTCTTGGTGATCCATCAATGAAGTGGCCAACATCATGTAATAACATTTAGGGGAAGATGTAGGTATATGTTTTTTAATGAATAATGTAATCATATGTATGAATATGAAATAAAGTTTGTTATTTGTATGACAATAAATTTTATGCAATGGATTGTATTTTTGTATATGGCATTTTATTTTATGTTATCAGACATTAAATGCAAATTTAATTTGAAAATTAGTAAATCTGTAAATAATTTTTTTTAATATTTAAAATTATGATACGCAAAAATGTGTGTCATCTTCATTTATGACATGACCTTTCTTGACAGGGGCTTCCTTGATACACATTGCGTGTCATAAACACGCGCGTCGTAAGGTTACGACACGCAAATGCGTGTCGTCTTCCTTTATGACAGGGCCTTCCTTGATACGCATTGCGTGTCATAACCGCGCGTCGTAAATGCGCGCCGTAAATGCGCGTCATCTCTCTTTATGACAGGGCCTTCCTTGACGCGCATTTGCGCGTCGTCTGAGCGTTTTACGACGCGCAATGAGCGTCGTAAAAGGCTGTTTTTCTAGTAGTGGGGGCGTGTAACTCATTCAATTTTTAACCAAATCAAGCGTTCTTATAGTCTAAATTCAACTGCAAATCCTAATCTACATGTAGGAAAAAGATTTAGGTCAAAACAAGTTAAATTGAATGAGTTATGCATATTTGAACAACAAAATCACATCACGTTTTATTGCTGTTAGAAAAAAAATTTAGATTTGACACCCTTCCTTGCGGGGCTTGTAACTCATTCAATTTTTAACCAAATCAAGAGTTTTTATAGTCTAAATTCAACTACAAATCCTAATCTACATTTAGGAAAAAGATTCAGGTCAAAACAAGTTAGATTGAATGAGTCATGCACATTTGAACAACAAAATCACATCACATTTTATTGTTGTTACAAAAAAAAAAAATCAGATTTGACACCCTTCCTTGCGGGGCTTGTAACTCATTCAATTTTTAACCAAATCAAGCGTTTTTATAGTGTAAACTCAACTACAAATCCTAATCTACATGTAGGAAAAAGATTCAGGTCAAAACAAGTTAAATTGAACTAGTTATGCACAATTTAATATTTGGACAGATTGCTAAAGAAATAAATATTGCTAATGAGCTAAATACTAATCTTACTTGGTCATCGAAGTCTTTTCCAATCCAATTAGCCGGATTACTATCTTCAATATTAGCATCATGAGCATCCGAGTTTCGGTATCTTGATGATGGTACATTTGGTAGCCCATCCAAATCCTACAATGTCAATTTTACACATTAATTATATAACAAAAGTACTATACAAATTCGTAGTTTTGACAATCTTACATAATTACATTCATACTATAAACAATAAACTAATCTAACAAAAATCTTGCATGTATGTCTACAAAGTACATTGTTAAATGGAGCTTAAAACATGAAACATATATTATATGTACAACCTTTCATCCGTAAAGGAGTACTCCACTATGAGACTATGATCAAGAATCAAGATCTTTTAATTAAGTAGGGATAACAATGCATATATTTGGAATGGAGACAACGAAACCAAAGAAAAAAAACTTGCATGCATGCCATTATTTGATGAATCATTGAAGCATTGAAGATTTGAAGCTAATATTGAAGTATATAATCTTAAAACATGAAATATAAATATATGCTCTTACTTGATCTTCATGAACATCCATAGTTTGAATCATTGAAGCAATTGAAGATGAAAATCAATGAATGATGATAAAGAATTGAAGATCGATTGAAACTTGGAGATGGAAACTTGTAATCGATGGAAACTTGGAGATGAAGAATTGAATGATGATGAAGTGATGCTGATTGCCGATTGTTGAAGAGAGTAGGGTTCGATCGTGAACTTGGAGTTGGGACTTGGGATCGTGGCAGCCGGCAGGAGGTGGGATCGTGGCCGTGACTCACAAGAAGTCAAGAACGATTGCGTTTTTTTTTTTTTTTTTTTTTTTTTTTTTTTTTTTTGTTATGATACCGAATGACCGATTGCGATTGGAGACTAGATGGGAAGAAGAAGTTTTTTTTTGTGTGTATCGCAAGGAGGAGGTGGGATCGATCGTGCTCATCCCTACGTGACATGGTTTTCTAGCCGGGTCGGTTCCCGGTTTTAGGCCGGTTCCAATAGCCGGTTCTTTCCGGGTCCCGGTTCCAAAAAAATCACAAATTTATAGTATAGGTCCCGGCCCGACCGGTTCCATCGGGTGCCGGTTTCGGTTCCGGTCAATTCCCCGGTCCTTTTGCTCATCCCTATTGATAGGAACAAAATTTAGAAAAATATTTAATTTCTCTTATGTTTTTTTATTTAAATTAGGATTTTAAAATACATGCAATAAGAAAGGAAAAAAGGATTTATACAAGGTAAGCACGTTTTTTTAACATAACCCTTTATAACATGAAAAAATAAAAAGTATTGGAATCTACACATGATTAGGAAAAGGATAATTGTATAATCCGCTTATTGAATGTAAGTGGATTATTACATGTAAGTGGAAAGAGATTCCTTCCCAAAAAAATAATTAGAAAGCGATCGCAAAGACCACAATTGATCATCGGTCTCTTCCATTGGCCTTTGTAAAAGAAGTCAGCAAACTCTCCTGTGTAGATGACTAAATGGGTTTCTTTCTTTTCCAGTTCACAAACATGCCACCGACAGATTTCTTATGGGTGCTTTTTTATTACAATAAATTTCATGAAGCCGGTCCAAGAAACATGTTCCTCATATCGAGTATTTTTTGTTTTTTCCATGACAATTGTATGCAAAAGTCTAATAACATAAAACTATATGTCAATTTGGCTATTGACGGATTCAAAAATGTTTTCCGTCCATTTGGCTATTGAAGAATTCAAAAAACTAGTAACTTTTTGTGATCAAGATCCTAAAACTCCATCTAAATTGGTGAGATGTGTTCTTGAAAATTAGGGGATAAAGTATTGAATAGATGTTTGGAAGATTGGAATGGTATCCATCCTATAGGCTCTGCTTCAATTCTAAAGGTATATTATTCTAATATAATTGTTAAACCTTATTATACTTCCGTTTAGTTATTTGATTATAACTTTTTTATATTTCGAAGAGTCTCATATTTTGTTTTACCATAAGTCTCAAACGGGTTTGCACCGGGCTTGGGGACACAAGTAGGTATATATATATATATATATATATATATTCTAATAAAACAATAGTTCTAATCTCCTATTGATAAGTATCATACAACTAGAACTCGTCATTAATATTATATATCATCTATCATGTCACTTGTAAACCTATTAATTATCCATTTTAAATTTTAAATTTCACTCTAATTACATTAATTTAATAATTGATTACTCATTTCAAATTTTAAATTTTCACACTCTAATCACATTAAATTAATAATTAATTCTTCAATTTTAAATTTTTCTCACTCAAATTATATTTTATTAATAACATTACATTAAAAAATAAAATAAAATTAATACAGATTATAAGGCGATATAACTTCATGTATTTATTTAAATCAACGATTATAATTTTATATATTTAAAAAAAATATCACTTAAGTAATAATTTATTTAAAATAATTGTTTAATAATTTTAATTTTTTAATATGAAAATTTAATTAATTTTATAACCGTGGTTCTCACGGTTATAAACTAATATATATATATATATATATATATATATATATATATATATATATATATATATATATATTATATATATATATATATGTCCTATTAAATAAGTACAAAAACGTCAAATGTCACTCTTCCAGCAGCCCCAAATCGCGTTTTCCCGTCCATTGCTTCTTTAACAAATAGATATCATCTCATACTAATCAGCAATTCAGATACCATATTATCTCTGCATTCAAATTCAATTTCAAATACATTATAAATATATCAAATATCTAAAACAACAAAATCAACAATATCCCATATAATCAGCAATAAATTTGAATTCATTAATATTTTACCAAATTTATAGCAATCATAATAGGAATGCAATAATGATTACAATATTATCTTCACCTATTCATTGCACCTATAAATACCGAACCCGTAAATTTTTTTCCAACATTTTTCGTCTTTTTCATTTGATTCAAGTTTTTTTCTTCATCTGTGCAATTCTGTTAAAGCATCCTTAAAATAATTATGCCGATTTTTATATGTTTATTATTTTTTCTTATTTTGATTATTATAAAATCATAACCAAATGCTTTGCTATTTGCGTAACATCCTTGTCTACAAGAGTATGCGTCTTCAAACAGTTATCACATGTTCTCTTGCAACTTAAATGATTAAATTTTTCTCCAAAATGAACAAGTTGTAGAAAACGTCGACAATCAACTTCATTCTCACAATAGCTGACTTGAGGTAAATAACAAGTGGTTATATTTTATAGATACTATTGTTTGTATGCTGATTTGAATATATCAAAGTTAATTAAAGAAATATCAAAATTACCATGCACTAAAGGCTCTCTGTATTTGTTTCCAGTACTCTTCCAGAATTTAAACTACTTACACGAGATGCAAAAGAGCTTTGCTCCATGGATCCATGACTAAGCATGTGTTTGACCTGAATCCTCAAAAAAGTTTAAAAGATATTTGAGAAAACGAAATGAAAATGAGGGAAATTTTCTAGAAAGTGAAGCCTTCTTTTCTCTATTGAGTCATTCCTTATGCATTAAGTATAAAAAAGAAACAACAAATTGATAATGACTTAGGTGCTATTTGTTTTTATAAGCCAAAATAGCTGCAGTCTGCGGACCACATCTGCAAGCCTCTGCGGCAGAAGAGGTGGATCAAATGTCTGCAGTCTGCAATAAGAAGACCGTTTGTTTTTAACGTCTGCAAATGTTGAAATAAATTAATTTTTCAAACTTAATTTTTGTAACACCGTAAATTTCAAAACAAATTTTCCTTTAAATATAATGGTTTAATTCTTAAAAACACTTTTCTTAAAATCTCATTCATAATCAAATTACAAAACATAACTCCATTTTCACTTGCATAATAAACCAGGATCCTCAAAATATGACTCTTTCACTGGTGTGTACAATCAAGTCGGTGCCGTCCTATGATCCTGAGAGAAACCTGAAACACATAACACAAAACACTGTAAGCACGAAGCTTAGTGAGTTCCCCAAAATACCACATATAACACATATTAGGCACTCGAGGCTATAACTCTGTGGGTCTGTGCACCCAAACTCTGTGAACCCTCAGGTTCTAACTCTGGGAACCTTCCGGTTCTAACTCTGTAAACATGCACAGCATAAATCACATAGAAATGATGCAGTACAACACATAACATACATAGCATACAGATACTCTGTCACATAACTCTGGTTACGTACTCAAGGTAAAGTATAGTGAGAAGACTTACCTCGCGTATCTCGGTAATTCGTAAATCCCTGAAATCACTAGTGCTCGATCTCCCGAGCTATAGTCCTCCTATAACACAATACATCTCTAATTAACACTTTCCCAACTAAGGTTGACTAACGCTATCGAGTCCACACTGGTCAATTCTGGTCAATGGTCAATGGTCAACCCCAACTCGCCGAGTCTGGCGTGGACTCGCCGAGTCCCTACGAGGACCCCACTTCCTCTGAGTCCCTTCCGACTCACCGAGTCACTCACCCAACCCGGTTACTCAACCCCTGGTTCTAAATCTAAGAACAACCCGCACCAACTCGTCGAGTCTGCCAATAGACTCGGCGAGTGCATTCCATGCACAATCCCAAACGACCTTTTGAGGTCAGATCTGTTCCACTAACTTATAGATCCAGTCCTTCCAAGCTTATTTATCTCGTAAAGTCGCTATCTTGATGTACATACAACATCTATATGACCAAATATGATGATTTAGCCCCAAATACCACAACTCAAGGTCATAACCTCCATTGCTCTTCATAAAGCTTGATGAGTGAGGCTCTCTGGACCTCTTTGGATCCAGATCCAAAGCCTCATCACTAGAAAGGGACTATTTGGGCATCAAATCAACCCAACAAAGGCCACAAGAAACCCTAAATCCAAATATACTTCATAAAACAGAAGAGGAGTTGAATTAATACCTCAAGTGCGATGATCTAAGCTTCAAATCCACAGCATAGCAACCTCCTTTGCTTCCTCTTGGTTAGGACCTCCTTCTTCTTGCTAAACAACACCACAAAGGTCAAGAATGGATTCCTTTCTCTCTCAAAACGCTCAAGCACTCTCGGGTTTCTCTCTATGGATTGGTGAGCACAAATAACGACCATAAGGTCCTTTAAATAGACCCCAAACCCGAGAAATTAGGGTTTCATTAAACAGCGTTGACTCGCCGAGTCCACCAATGCGACTCGTCGAGTCCGATCATTAATCCGGATGAGAAATCGCGTCTCTACTCGGCGAGTCTACGCACCAACTCGCCGAGTTCCTCTTTAAAACTCAAAATAAAAAGAATCAATATAATACCTGAAATTCCGGATGTTACAATTTCACATTATAAATATTAAAAATGCATGTTCAGCAAAAAAAAAAAAAAAAAAAAAAAAAAAAAAAAAACTGGTGGATTTTTTTTAAGGTAAAAATGAGGTCTGAAGACCTTTGAAAACAGTGGTTCATGTCTGCGTCAAGAAGACCTCGCGCGGACGTTTTTGATCTGCGCACTTCCAAAAAACAAACACTCAGCGAGGGCATATGTCTACGCGTTGTCTGCGCGGCGTAGACAAAAGTCGTTGCACAGATCCTCGCATAAAAAACAAACAGCCCCTTACATAATCACTATAACTGTAATACAATATGCAAGAAGAATGTTGCCCATCTCTATCTGCATGCCCACATTCCTACAACAAAAGTATTCCATGAAAAATCTATAAGTTATAGAAATATCATTTAAATACATAGTTTTTTTAAGTGAAATGTGATCACAAAGGGTACCTGATTGTAGCCTTAATGGATTTAGGAAGAGAATGATGAATGACAAACCGAACATCCGATTTATTTATACCTGAAACAATCATGTTTTATAACATTATTATTAATTACTTTTATAACAAGACTAGATCACATGCCATAATCCATACCCATTCCAAATGCCATAGTTGCACATATGATATTAACCTCATCTTTACTCCCACGTTCATCTGGATCCATACTAGCATGGTAAAATGCAACTTTGTGCCCAAATTCCTGAAAGAAAAGTAACACCATAAAAAACCTTAAACATCACAACTCACAAGTGGCTTTATCAATAAACAAAGAGAAAGACAACATAACACATAAGAAGAAACCTGAAACTTTTTAGCAACTTTCTCACAGTCCATCCTTGAAAGACAATAAATGATTCGACATTCATCAAAATGATTGTCCTTAATGAACTTGTCGATATCTTCCATACATTTTTTCGTTTTGGGTATAACTGAAAACCTGAAATATTGACATTTTTATAGGTCAACACATTGAAAATCCCATTATAATTACATTAAACCCATACCTTAAATTTGGGTGGTTGAAACTTTGCCTGAAAATAATACAATCAACAAGTCCAAGAGCCTGCACAACATCCTCTTTAACATTGGCTGTAGCAATAAGAGTTAATGCCAACAGGGGTATATTCGGAAACTTTTGTTTCAAAATACCAAGACTCTGTACATAGTTTATAGCAACATTGTTATATAAGAACCTAAAGAAAAACTACAACGTTTTGAACAAATTTATATGATATAATAATTAATAACCTGGTAATCTGGTCTTAAATCATGTCCCCATTGGCTTACACAATGTTCTTCATCAATCACAATTCTATCTAGCAACTCTCGTGCATAAAAGTTCTCTAATTGTCTCAATAAAGCATCACTTCAGCATCTTCTTGTGTGACATCTTTAGATTCAGAGAAACAAGAGGTGAGATTACCAATGTGACACTTGGACGTATAAAATCATAACCAAGGATTAAACAATAACAATTCAAGATTAAATTTTGAAATACAATCAAAATTCAAATAATAAATACAGCGAGTACATTTAATCACATCTTCTACAAAAACGAAATTAGTAATTTTTCCTCTTCTTCATCGTAGCCCTATCTTCATCATTGAAATCCAACAGCTAACATATTCCAAAATCAAACCATAAGGACGCAATTTTTCTTTCATAACTTTAGCAACAGACTAAAATCATTTTTCAGGGGTCTACTATCTATTACAAAAGTGGACTTGTATTCCTTTCGATTTTGGATTTTAGCCCTGTATTTATTTCCGATTATGTTGTTAAGAAGTAGAGACAGTGGTGTGGCTATGTTGTAAGGCTGCTACGAACCCGATGAGATCTCCGATTACAAGAGATAGGTACTTTGATATGTAGAAATCGAATACATCATTTGGTGTATGCAATTTCAGAAAGAAAAAAATAGAAACGATACTTTGAGTCTACAATGTCGGTCGGAAGAATGAATGTTTTTAGGGTTAAACTTATTTAGGGCTAAATTGTAATTTACAATAAATATATATAAATAGTAGATTTTAAAGTGACGTTAATATTTATTTTTTCCCTTTAAACAATTTTAATTTTAATTTCATAATAAATTTCGAATACATATTTTTCTTAATCGTATTTATGATCACTACTCACTATATGAAACTAACTTTTTATATGATATATATAAATAACATTGTAATTAACAAAAATATCAAAAAATATTGTGAATAATGTTATATGGACTTTTTGTTTTTTGGACTAAAAGTTACTATTTTTATTATTAGTATTTTTATTATGGCCGTGTTTGGCAAAAGTAGCTGTTAGCTGGAAGCGGGTAGCTGGTAGCGTGTAGCTGGTAGCTGGTAGCGGGAAATTGTAACTTTTATTTGTTATATGAATGTTTGGCAAAAGTAGGTGGAAGCTTTTTGAAATATATAAAATTACATAAAAGGACAATTGATTAAAATTAAAAAAATATATAAATATATTTTTAAGGGTAATTATGGAAATTGATTTCAAAAGCTCCGGAGCGTTTTGTTAAAACTAAACACTAAACGTTTGTACTGCCAAACGAAGCTTTTTGTGTAAACTAGAGCGTTTTGTCAAAAGCTAAAAGGTAGAAGCTCCCAAACGCTTCCAAAAGCTCCGTGCCAAACACGCCCTATATCGTTCGAGCATTTTGTACATATCAAAATATATAATCTATATCTTTTTGTTATTGCTTACTAAATAAATTCTTATCCATATATATATAAATATAATTTTCATAATGTATATCATACAATTTTTAATAGAATATCCTTATTTCAATCATAATATATTGTTTCTTTCTAAAATTCCAAATGTCATTCCTTACAAAATATAATTATATATATTTTCTCATTTTTACATCATAATTATTATTTAAAAAATGTCTACAAAGATGATGGATAAATAAATTCTCATTACCGTTGTATAACATATTATAACATATTATGTTTACGATCTATGTCTTTTAAACTTATCGATACAACATAAACTTGATAATTTGATAAATAAAACTTTTAATGTTGTGGACAAATGACTATTTAAAAATTTAAGTGTTATGTTTATTTTACTTATCAATTAATTAAACATTACTTACAATCAAGACTCCGGTGCATTTTTCTTACAATTATTTTTTTTATCTATATAAAAGTTTAAATCATACCGATCGTGGTTTCCACGAGTTATAATTAAGTATTGTATTTTCTTTATGTTATTTTCATTAGATACATTGGTAATGCATCATCTACATATGTTCAACGAGAATCCTGCACCAAAAATAAAGATTTAAAAAATCTTCAATTCTAATTTAAATTCTTATCATTTACTGTGTAATTAAATACTTACAAATCATAAAGTTATTGAAAAATGCAACATTACAATTCATAAGTTTTTTAAATTAAAGAAATTTTATTTTATTATATAATTAACTTTTAAATACTTATAATTAATTTTTATTGGTGCATATATCTAACGACTGAGACTATTTATTGCATTTTCGATTTGTATGATGTCAGACATCTAAATCATGCCACTTACATCATTAGAGAATATATATATATATATATATATATATATATATATATATATATATATATATATATATATATATATATATATATATATATATATATATATATATATTTTTGTAAAACACACACACATTTTGCTCGTGAAACTTTTTAACCGGCAATCTCCAACTAGTTAGGGTTTCCAACCCAATCATAGTCCAATAGGCCCAAAACCAAGTCCTTAGATCAATTGAGGCTTCATTAGGCCCACGGTTCCATTAGGGCCACTAGGGTTTCATTAATCGGGCACCACCCACTACCACCCTAGGTAGTGGTGGTCAATGGCGGCTCATGGTGGTGGTTACGAGTTTCTTTCATTATTTTCGCATCGATTACAATATTACAAAGCAAAAACCCCCGAATAACACACACACACAGCCACCACTACTAGAAAAACAGCCTTTTGCGACGCTCATTGCGCGTCGTAAAAGGCTCAGACGACGCGCAAATGCGCGTCAAGGAAGGCCATGTCATAAAGATAGTTGACGCGCTTTTGCGCGTCGTATATAGACGACGCGCATTTACGACGCTCATTTACGACGCGCGTTTACGACACGCAATGCGTATCATGAAAGGCCCTGCCGTAAAGGAATACGACACGCATTCGCGTGTCGTAACCTGACGACGCACGTGTTAATGACACGCGTTGCGTATCAAGAAAGGCCATGTCATTAATGAAGATGACACACATTTTTGCGTATCATAATTTTAATGTTTAAAAAAAATATTATTTATAGATTTACTTATTTTCAAATTAAATTTATATTTAATGTTTCATAATAGAAAATAAAATATCATATACAAAAAATAGAATCCATTGCATAAATTTAATGTCATACAAATAATCGTTCGAACGACTAAGGGGATCCGATTGTACATTGTTATTAAGAAAATGGAAGTATATTGTTATAGTTAGAAAATAAATGAGAGTACAATGTGCTATGTTTGGTTCTTTTCATAAAGTTTCCATCTTCAAGATTGCTATCCAATAAGCTTTTAGTATTCGCATGTAGAAATTCCATTGCAAAATGCACACCTGAGAGCTCACATCCAGGAACAGGGAGGTCCCGTGGCTTTGTTGCCCCCACTGCTAAAATAACCACATCATTCTCTTCGCGAAAGCGTTCAATTGAGTACACCGGATCGCTTCCTATTTCCAGGACAGAGGAACTGCAAATATTATTACAACTCATTGTCTACCAACAAAACAAACTATATGATTATGATTATCTACCTTGAAAAGTGGGCCCTAGCAATCCGGAATTGGGATTTTGTTCTTTCTCCAATTAGATTTAAGTCAAGTGTGGGACTACTGCTTGCAAGAATGAAATGTTGAGGGCAATAATGCTCAAGATCAGCATTAACTTGCTGCTTTAACTGGATGCTTCCCTCCACTGCCTGCCAACACCCCAAAACTTTTTAACTTAATGACTACATTTTGATTCAACTCATTTATAACATAAATAATGGGCCTAGCTTCCACCATAATTTCACCTCAATCAATGTGCTCTAAGGAAAGGGTTTTGACCTATAATATACTTTCACTCTTTTTTCGTACACAAATCCCTGAATATGTTTTTATTCGAAAACTATACGTATTTATTCAATAATTTGATTGGTAGCCTAGTCTTGAGGTTATTTTACACGGTTTTAATTAAAAAAAACAAAAGAGAGAATTGAAACACTAGAAAACTATAGGTATTTTTTTTCTTTCAAAAATGTGATTCTTGCTCAGGGTTATATTAAAAAAATAACCTATATAATTCCACACTTGTCGCAAATAAGCCTCTGAAGAATAACTATTTGCATGAGCAAGTCCTTTAACTAAAAAATACCCCATTGCTTTTGCAGTGTCATGTGTTTGATACATATGATACCACATGACATCGGTTTTTGTTTTATCATTTGTATTCGACTGCCAAGTTTCTGTTTGATACTTGTGTCACTAGCAGTCTACTATGACAAAAACCTCAACATCCGGTAATCGTTAAAGTTTAGAAACATACCTACTTCTCATGTGTTCCAATTTAAGAAATTTACATCATGCAATTCTTTTTCAGGGACTTATCTGCCAAAACCCTTGTTGTAACAGATGAATTATATGGTTGGGACTCAGACTCACCTCTACAACTAAATCCACATGTTTGAAGCTATCATAACTGAGTACACCGTTCAACAGAGATACAGTTCTTTCAAGCTTCTCCTTGGTCATTTTCCCTGCCATAAGATGGCTGTGCAAATTGGCTGAAGATGAAGATAACGAAGGAAGAATTGTGAGTTGTGACCATACTTTTTAAGCTCATATCATGACTCACCTTTGATTTCACCAAGTGCAGCCTCCAGAGAATTCTCATCATCCTCCTTAAATATTACAGGAAAGTTAGCTAGGATAAAAGTTGTTGCTATTGCTATTGACCCCGGACCAATAGCACCAACTCTATTTACTTTCCTTGGCTGCAACCCCATATCAGTTATACCTGAAATCTATGCTTTTAACAAGTCATGATCTCATCAACATTAACTGTTAGTATAAGAAAGGTTTCCAAACCATACTCCAAACTTTGGAAGTGTTATATCAAGCAAAGAAGTTGTGGACCAAACTTTTACAAGTTTCAGATTGTCGAAGTTCATTCAAGGCCTCTGCTTCCTACCACCAGAATCATATATTTCAAAATTACCAACAAAAAAATATGAATAATAAATATTAGTTTCAACTTACAACTTACATAATATTTGTTGCTTTTATATTTGAAATAAAAGGAAAAGAAAATATAAACAAGACATAAGTACTCACCATACTAGTATGTTGACAGAATCGTGATGCACTCAGTTGGCTAAACCAGAAGAAAAATATAAAAATTATAATATGTATGAATTATGAAGAATGAAGGATTATATATTTTATGGTTTAAATTTTGTGTTATAAAAAAAGGGTTTCAGTTCTAGGGTTTCTGTAACACACATTCATGATTATCTTGGTTCTTTGTTTACATCCAAGTTAAGAGTGTGATTTTAGTGAGATTTATTTTGTATCTTGTATGATGAAAACCAACTGTTTCATAATAAATGAAATGTTGATGTTGGGAAGTTTTGTGTTCGTGTGATTGTTCTTTGAGTTTATAATTTGTTACATGGTATCAGAGCCAGGTTGTGGCATCAATCGTTCTTATTGATGATCTGTTGAAGAATTCATACAAGTTCATTCTCGTTCTTTTATTCATCAGTTTAGTTTATCATTTTCTGTTAGATTTTGAAACCGATCTAGTTAGATCATTTGGTCTCTTTGTTTTTAGTTTTGATTTCTTCATAAGAAATTGGTTACTGTGAGTTTTTTTGGTTTGTTGTTGCAGACCTGATGCAACTCGTTCGCTCCTGAAGGATCTGTGGTTGGCTATTGATCTTTGTCAAAGCGCTTCATCATCTGGTGTAACGACCATAAATTTTCAACAAATTTTAACTTTTCAAAAATATCCCAATTACTTGAAGTTTTTACAAAAAGGTTCAATACATTTATTATCAGAGTATTCCCAGAACCATAACATAAAACAAAAAGACGAGGAGCAGTACGATCATGCCTTTGCCTTGCCACGGTCTCCTGAAGAACCTGAAAAACATTAAACCACAACTATAAGCCCGAAACCTTAGTGAGATACCCCCAAAATACCAACCACATATACCATACACACATAACAATCACAGAACAGCCATGCATATCGGGTCTACTGTGTGACTGGTCTGCCGTATCGGGCCTTCAGTCCACCGGGTCCACCCTCCGAGTCTAGTCATGTCCCTCGAGTCTGCAGTGTGGTTGGTCTGCTCGCACGGGCCTTAAACCCACATGGTCCACTCTCTGAGTCTACAGTATGACTGGTCCGCCCGCATCAGGCCTTCAATCGGCCTAGTCCACTCTCCGAGCCTCGGCACGTCTGGTCCGCCCTCGTGGGGCCTACAGCCTATCCGGACTGCTCGCTGGGCCTTCGGAATAACCGGTCCACCCTGGGTATGTTGGCCTACAGCACAAAGCAGGTCCCACCTCAACCCAACCCCAGTCAAGCAACCATGTGCACATAAATATACAATCATATGACAATTCACATTCAATCAAACCGATCTAGCAGATCACGTATCATAACATACTCTAAGCAGGATACCGACCTAAAAGGTCACTAGCATATACCATCCTAATACCCGGATGCAAACGTAACAAGACAACAACATAACAACGATACCCGGATTACAATCCGACAAAGGGTCGGCCTTGGTGCCTTAGACCCTGTTGATATAGTGAGGATAACTCACCTCGCGATTGCCGAAACTCTGAACTGAAGAAGTCGATTCCCAAATCACCGACTCACCGAAAATCCCGAACTAGCCATCATAACAAAATAATCATTAGGCCAAACATACATCCACTTATCGAGCCAAGGCCAAAGTCCAAATCTCCTACAAAGCCCAATATTGGCCCAATTTACTAAATTGGGCCCTCCTCACCAAATGAGCCTAGATCCAAGGTCCATAATAATAATAATTGGGCCCAAAATACTATATCCATAATTTCCAGTTATGGCCCATAAATCCAACAGCCCAATAGCAGCCCAAATTATAAGGCCCAAATTGAAAATGCCACAGAGGGGTACGCTGGGCGTACTCTTCTTGGTACGTTGGGCGTACAACACTGTACGTAATATGGATCGGGACACTGGCCCATTACGCTGGGCGTACTCACAGGTTATGCGGGGCGTAACCTCACTGCTCAAACTTTATCACTTGGGACGTCCATAAAGCTCTTAATCCAAAGTCTTAATCCATTAAGACCTACTTATCTCACACATGGAACTACCATAGCCCTTGGGACCTTATTTTTCTCACTCAAGACCTCTCCTAAGGTCTGAAAGGATAGATAATCTTGAGCAACTCAAAACATGCATCAAGATGAGGACTTTTGGGGCAAGAATGATGTCAAAACTTCACAACACTTAGATCTATGCAATATGAATGACAAGCAAGGATCTTTATACCTCAAATAGACTCCAAAGGATGATGTCTTTCCAGATCTATAAGCTCCAATTGTTCCTCTCCTTCTTTGACAACTTGTCCTTTCTTCTTCTAGCTTCTTTTTTGCCAAAATAAACTTTCCAAGACCAAACACACCCAATAATGGAGGAAATACGGATATCTAGGGTTTCTGGGGGTAAAAGAATGTCTATGGAGGCTTAGGAGGGAACCATTATGTTGCTTATATAGTGGTTGCCCTTAAAATTAGGGTTTGGGGATTCTGAGAGTACGTTGGGCGTACCTCTAGTATGCTGGGCATACTCAACCTTGCCCCCCGCGCTTCTTCCCTCACTACGTTGGGCGTACCCAGCCAACTCAAGCATGCATGCATGGCATGCATGGGACCTTTTTCTCTAATTACCCCTAAGGAGCTATAATTGATATCACCTTCGAAACGCCGTAACTCCTCAACTCTAAACCCGCTCTCAATAAACTTTACACTCACACGAGGGTGGCGAGAAGCCCTATGCTTCTATCAACACACACACCAGTCCAAACCTTCTCGGATAAAACCCATTTCCTGCAAAAGGACCAAAATTACCCTTTCTCTTAAATCTCAGGGACTCATAATTAAATACTTTAAGAACGGGGCGTTACATCTGGTCTGCTCACCTAATCCCATTATAGGGTCAAAGTAACTCTGATAGAGAACAGACTTAGTCTGAAATAACTCTGTCAGGGAACAACCCAAGGGAGGTGAGCAGTCAATTCTGGTTAACGAAAAAACTGCCTTAGATCACTGTAAGAGTTTCTTGTTCCTTTCTTCTCTATTCTTATCTTAGTTGTGGGAGATCCTGGTGTCTTGTGTACACCAGTTACATTTCTTCAATCTTGTCTTTTAACTGGTGCTCATCTTGACTTCAGTATATTGTTCATTGGTTTATTTTGGTTTGTTTCTTTGATTTTGATTCCATGGCTGGTTCTAATGATCCTCCAGGAGGAAGTGGAAAGGATGATGCAATTAACTTTGATGATCCTCTCTACATCCATCCATCTGATAATGCTAATCAACTCCCGAACTATCCCCACTTAAATTAGGCTTCATCCTCGAAGCTTGCGGCTACTCAACTCCCGAACTGCCCCCGCAATGCACCACCTGGCATTCACCAGACCAGGTTCCTCAAGTCACAACCATCGAAACCCGAAACCCAACTTTCCCTTTCTTGCTGACAGGATGACACATGTTTCAGCCTCAAAGCAACTCCCACGAGTTCTCCACCGCAATCTCATAACCATACTGAACTGGCCCTAGCATCCTCGGGTTGGGAAAACCCGATACACTGATGACACCTCCAAACATCCTCCAAGATGAATTTCCACCCCCTAAGCCAAAAATCAAACTGGATATCCAAGATTCCATCCCTGTATTCCTTCCGAGCCTCAGCAACCATCCAACTCGGATGCGATTCTAATCATAACTCTGCACTACTGCTTTCACTTCCATGAACTTACACTCCCTCTCGGGGCTACATTCCCTTCCTTTCCCTTACCAAGGAAACCCACTTGGGTGCCTTGACACTTCCACAAGTGCCACGGTGCTCACTCAAAACTACACCGTGCTATTATAGCATAATCTCTATCCTATGCACCACACATACTCTGGATTCGCTCGCAAAGACTCTCAAGTCCATTCTCGACCTCCCACCATGATCAAAACCCGGGGCCAGACCTTCTAACGCTAACATATTGCGACATACTCAATCCATTTCCTCGCACCGATCTGACGACACATGCAGAGTCTTCAGCATGACTAGACCGCCTTACCATGCCTTTAGCCAAACTGGACCACTCTCAGAACCTTCAGCAGACCTGGACCGCCCTCCAGAGCCTTCAGTCTGGCTGGACCATTCTCCGAGCCTTCGGCTTGACTGGTACGCCTACCGGCCTTCAGTGTATCCGGACCACTCAACTAGCAATCAACATTCTGAGTTACTCCTTCGGGAAACTCCTCCCATGAATATTGTTCTCGCCCTCTAGGGGTTCCGAACCCTACCTTCATCCCACATACTCAATCCCGACCCGATACCAGACCTTCCACAATCAATCACCCTTGGTCTGCATCCCGCCCTGCACGCCTGCCACTTACTCATACCAGCCTACGCTTTTGGCTGACCGAAACACTGTCGAGTCCCATGCAGCTAAACGACCTCTCATACTCATCGACCTTCCAAAGAATTATCCAATTATCCCCCACTTAAAGCACTGACTATAAACCACCCGGTCACCATTACCGACCTCCCTCTACAACCCTTCACGACACCATCACTTACACGCGAACTAATTTCCACCAACACGAGCAACCTTCACAAATCACGTATCAACACTGATCATCCCGGGCTCGAAAGAAACTCGATCTTCAGCTAACCACTCCTCAGACTGCAGATGCTACCCGATATCCAGACCAACACCCG